GCTTCATTTCTAATTTCAAGAAACACAGTATTTTTTAACAGTTAAACAGCATTATATTTGACTAACAAGCCAAAATATATATTTTCAAAGCCTTATTAAAAGCCCCTGTATTTAACAGTGTGAATGCTGAGATTTACAAACCTCTGTGAGCCAACACTGCTCCTTCAATTCTCCAAAGTAATTATAAAACAAGCTATTTGAGCCACAAGCAGCGGAAACTGCGGAGCTTGGGGTTTTTAACCCTCCTCACAACACATCACAGCCTGCAGCCTGACTCCAGCTCCCTCCCATGTTCCCTGTGACATCCCAGGCCAGGCAGAGGGATTGGGGTGCACCCCAGGGTATGAACAGAGCCACCAACCAACCCATCCCTGGGGACTGGCAACCCAGTGACACCATGCAAAAGGAACAACATTTGGACTTCCCCAGCATTTTTCTGCAGCCAAGCCACACCTGGCAGTGTCAGCCCAAGTTTTTCATCTGCCAGTTCTCTTCGTGGTGAGCCCAGGCAGGCAAAAGCTGGAGAACAACCAGAGCCCACCTCAGAACCACTCTGTGATGGAGCCAGGAAGGCAATTTGAGCTACACCCAGCAAACAGCCTGTACACAATGAGAAAAAAGGTGGGGCTTTTTTAAGGACTGAGTCGTTTGGTTTATGTTTTCTTTGTTCACTTTGCAAAATATGTATGAAAAGCTTCTTATGTATCATATTAAATTAACTAAAAATCTGTGACCTCATGCAGAAGCAAAGCTACTGCAGATATGTAAGCTCCCAGAAAAACAACTGGCTTCCAGCACTGGAGGTACTATCTCCAAAAACATCTCTTACAGTTAAAATGACTAAGCAGATAAAACAGCTCTTAGCCACAATACAGAATAGGCTGCTGACTCAATGGATGCCATCAGAAATCACAAGCACTGAGGCAACACAGGACAGGAGGGGCAACTGGCTAAACCAAGCTTTGAAGTCCTTCAGATAAAATGTCTGAAATACCAAGTCACCTTGAGCATGAAATGCCAGACTCCCTGAAGAACATACTCCTATCAAAATCTGTGCCTCCCTCAATCAGGAAGGACTTCTTTGCTTAGCACAAATGAATACATCCTTTTATCCAGAGCACTATATTCTGCAAAATTCCCATTTTGGCAGAACAGTAGGTAGGATGAGGGGTGAACATTTGCACAGTCGTGCATTGCTGCTGAACTGAAACTGTGTTAATAATTTAATGCATTAATGAATATTAGGAAACAGAATTACAACTGACCAAATGCATACATTTCAGATGTGGCATTTCTTTCCTTCAAATTTGTACTGTGCATACATAGCTGTGCTTCCATTTTTCCCTGAAACTAACTCATGTTTCTTGTGAAAACTGAAATTATCCAAAAAGTATGGTGTGATATGCAAGAAAGCTGAATTTTCATCAGTTTCTTTAATGCTAATGATAAAAATGTGAAAAGTTTATTTTGGCTGTATATATTCTTAAATATTAATAAAGATAACAAGGAAGATTCCAGGCAGAACACTAGCTTGAACTGTGGGAAACACATATTCCTGACATACTTGCAAGTTGATAATTCTCCCTCTTCCTTACTCCTCCGTCAGTTATTAATATGATAAAGGGCTCAGGCACCATTCCTCATTTTCAGTAATTGCATTTATTTTACAGCAATTATTTTTTCCCTGGTAATATATTCATTAAGGGTAAGTGTAAGCCACCAGCTGATTTAGCTCCTTCTGAAAAGGACCTGGACAGTATAAGGGTTCACAAGTTTTATAGAAGTCAACAGTACCATGCTATTGTGAAAAAGATTGGACTGTCACATTGCAGAAGTAAATAGATTGCAAGGCATGTCATGTAATAAACTCTACACAGGACTGGCACCAGCTTATCTGAGTATCATGCTCACCTTGGACCACTGCCAATCAAGAAAGGCACAAAACAGCTGGAGATAGGCCAGAGGAAATAAAGAATGAGAGAAAATTTGGGAAATGTGAGCACTAAGGAACCATTGAAAAAAATAGCAGTTATTTAACCTGAGGAGGGAAAGGCCAAGAAAAGATATGATAGCAGCTTTCCATTAAGTCAAAGAAAAAAGGAATAATCTGCTTTCTGTGCCTATAGGACTGGACAAGAATTAATGCCTTTTTGGTAAGAACATTTCTACATAGAAAGAAAATGTCTCATATTGAGCAAATTGCAGTGTTAGAATGGATTGCTGTTTTCTCATTGAAACTCTCTGAAAGTCTCTGAAAAAGATAAACATCTGTCAGAAATGGCAAAAATAGTTTATTTTGCCTCTCAAAACCAGAATGGACTAAAAAGAAATCCCAATGCCCAATTTTATTTTTTATGTTTTTTTGAAAGTACAGCACTTCAAAACAGCAAGCTGGACATTGGTTTTCAGACTACATAAAACACATCTCTGTCTCAAAAAAAATCATACTTTTCAATGCAATTTAATACAATAATGACAGCAATTACAAAAATGAAACTGTATTAAATAACATTTCTTCAGTAGTATTAGTATTTTTCCTGATTTATACAAGTTTAATATACTTTCTCTAGTCTGAAATCTGTTTACTTCCATTTCTACAATATAAAACATAGTCATTGAAAAATAGGTCTAGTAGGAAATCTCCAGTCCTATCAACCAGAGCTTTCAAGAAAATAGAGAATGCAGTCAAAGAAAGAAAAGCCACTTAGGGAATTGCATTTAACACAATTTCTATTTTAGAATGGCTTGGCTTGGAAAGGATCATAAATATCGTTTTGTTCCAATGTCCCTGCCTGGGGCAGGGACACCTTCCACTACCCCAGGTTGCTCAGAGCCCCAGCCAACCTGGCCTTGAACTCTTCCAGGGATGGGGCAGCCACAGCTTCTCTGGGCAACCTGTGCCTCACCAGCCTCATTGTAAACAATTTCTTCCTCACAGCCAACCTAAATCTACTCTCTCTCAATTTAAACCCCTTTCTTCCAGCCCTGTCCCCACAGGCCTTGGGAAAAATCCTTTCTCCACCTTTTTCATAAGCCCCCTTTACATACTGAGAGGCCAAAAAAAGGTTTCCTCAGAGCCTTCTCTTCTCCAGGCTGGCCAAGCCCAGCATTTCCAGCCTGCCTCCATAGGAAAGTTGCTCCAGCCCTCGGAGAATCCCTCCAGCAGGTCCATGTATTTCTTGTGGGGAGCCCAGAGCTGGGGGCAGTACTACAGGTGGGGTCAGTTTTACCATCTTTTCTTTGCAAAAGGCAATTTCCATCGGATATTATATTTAAGATGGTACTCAAAGAGCATCAAGATAGTCTTATAAATGTTGTGTCCTACTGTTTGGACAACAGGATGGGATAGATTTCAACATTAATAACAATTTTGTAAGTCATCCAATATCAGTTAATTTGCTTTGACCAGTAAAGGTACTCCAAGCAATTACTTGGCTGACACAGAATAAAAGATGAAGTGAATTTACATATGAAGTGTACACAGCATTACTCTCATTCTTGCTAATACCTTATCATCATGAGAAAGTAAATGAAGGTATTCATTTCATTCATATTTGTGTTTTGGAAGTGTCTGAATATGCAAAGCAACATCATAGCCTCATCATGCTACAATGTAAATAAACACAGTATTTCAAATAGCACCTGCTTCTATCACATTCCATTTCTACTAAAGTATGTAAAGTATGAACATTACCTTCAAACCGAATAAATGTTTTAATTTAAAAATACAATTAATTCCATTGTTCAAAAACTGCAATTTAACCATCATGCAATGACTCACAATACTTCACAAATAATTTGATGACTGCTACCGATCGTTTTCATTGCAGAGAAGTTTAGCACGATAACGTAAATTTCCCAGCTTGGCCATGATTCATTTCCTAAGCCACTTTCTGATACAAAAAGGCAAAAAACTCACATAACTATAGCACCCAAAGTATTTTTAAAAATGCAGAACTATTGTCTGAACCTTCAGAGACACACCTTAAAAAAAAGGAACTTATAAAGATACTCTTTATTATTCACTGCATCATTTGCACTTTTTACATAATGTAATCACAGGATTTAAATAACTCAATTTAATATTTATCCAGGAACTGGCAGCCAGTATTCTACCCTGAGGGATGAAACTCTTCATAAAAAGCTCATTTTACAAGACATTGGAGCAGTTTTGGCATTACCAGCACCTCTCACATAAACCATGCTGAAAACTATAGTTTATCCTGCCAAATGCCTTTTCTACATATGGTGTTTAACAGTGCTCTGTAGGTCTGAAAGCCAGTAATAATAGATTTAAGCTAAAAATCTGGTAGCACACATGTATGTAACACAAAAATTCAAACAATGCTACATTTTCATGGATATATTTACCTACATACCCCACATGCATATAAGCAATTAAAATTACTCTTTAAATTAATGTTCTAACTATAACTCCTGTAAAAAATACTTTCCCTTTCAGTTTGCAGTAGCTTCCTAAAGTTTAATTCTCCTATTGACATCAGAGGCAGAACCTCCATTAACCTCAGCAATACAGGAGCAGACCACAGGAAACTCCAAATAATTTATTTAAAGACAGTACATATATGTTTTTTAAATTCTCTCATTATGCAAGGATGAGTTTGGTACTTTACTGGGTTAACTGCCCCAGTAAACTTCTAAATTAATTTTTTAAATAGCATATTTTAAACACTACATCATAAATACATAAATACTACCACATAAATAATGACAGAATAAAATCCAGTTATGTATCTACATGTGGTTAAAGATGGACCTGATGAAATTTTTATTGTAGGCAACAACAAACTTCACAACCTTTTTGACATTTGAAGTTTGATTTGAAGTCATACCGTGACTGAAGGGAATCAGCTAAATTTGTTACGTAGTATTTAATGTAAGTCTTCTTTAGAACAAAGACACTTCGCAACAAGATGAGTGATGGAGTTTAAAGTGTTAACATATTGACAGCTAGGTAAGATAATGCTGAAAATACTCACCACTTTCAAAACAGGCATCAAATATGAGATGTCCTTTTTTAGGCTGTCCACAGTAACCAGCTGGGAGAACAATGTACTTGCTCACGTTCCCTGCTATGATGTCATCACTTCCGATGGCACTGCCTGTTGCAGTAAAAGTGAAAAAAAACCCCATGAGCATTAAACAAAATATATATAATACATCAAAAACAGTAGAAGCTACACCCCCATGCATTTCTACATAAAATGAAGTTTACACCATTTAACACCTGCACCATTTTTTTCTGACTGAGCCAGTCCTTTCTTTTCAAAAGGTATATAAGAATTCAGATATAATAATGGCATAATCTGCTAAAGCCTCTCTAAGGAACAAACCATCCAACCTGTTTTCTTGCATGTTTATGACCCATGGCCAAACCCTCTTATATGCATTAGTCTGATATTCAGCCAGATCTACTTCTTCCAACAGGAGCTCTCTAGCTCTAGATCCTGCTGGATTCCATGGAATTGAACTCCTCATCATCTTCTTTATCACAACCCTCAGAAGCACCTTCCTCTCAGCATTAATGGGATCCTTCTCTTCTATCCTGCTGCCTATTTTCAGGCATCTTAAATTAACTTAGAACCCTTGAGACTGCTCAGTCCCATTCATATTTGAAATTTTAGAATTATTAGAAGGAAGAAACATACACCCATGGAGCCATGTGACTATCTGAGCCCTCCTTGTTAGAAAACAAATCTCAGAAAAATAACTTGAATAACTTGAATTTTTTTTAATGCGGCATTTATTTCATTGTCAAATATACAAGGACATAAAGTTTCTACACAATGGTATGATTTTTCTCATAATACATCAGTAGTAAATACACTGAAAGCTTTATCTTTACAGTAAAATTATATTAACAAATTGCAGCCTGCAAAATATTTGTTTCCAAATAGGGATAGAAGAACACTAATTTTTATTTTTTTTTCCATTTGAGATATGTACAAGAAAGTAAGTAAATAGTTGTGTATTATATCACACATTTATATTATAGTATAAGAAACACTCAGCACTTTCTTCACTACTTATAGTTTGGACAAGAAATATTTAACAATAGAGAAACTATCTTCTGTATTATAGAAAATGAAGAAATGGTACAGCTTCAAGTGCAGAAGGCATGTGATGGGATAATGGGATGATAATATCTTATTTCACTCTGATAAATAGGGCTACTAAGGCTTCTAGAAATAGACTTTTGGTCTGTACTGATTTTTTTGACATTTAAATGTGTTATGGGGGATGATAAATGTGACATAAAGCTCAATTTGCTTTATTTTTATATTGAAAACTATTTCACACAAATGTTACAAGCAATTCATATTGTCCCTGAATGATGAAAACAGCTTATTAATTAAAAGTGACCTTTCCATACATAAAAGTATTCCACCTCTTGAGGCAAAACACCTTAGCTGAGGTAACAAATTATAACGATGTATTAGTGACACCATAGTTAAAGGGTCTGTCAGGCTTTCTATCATATACCCATATTTTCACAGGTACATAAATCCCATATTAAAAGTATGCAAATCCAGGTCAACATTTGGCATATGAATCCCCAGTCTTCCACAGGAATGAATTTGAAACTTACTCTCTTTGGGAAGTACTACAACAGAACAAACAGAATTTAGACCTTTTCTTACTTTATCAAAATCTAAAAATGTAGATATTGAATAATGCATGATAGTATTTTTTTAGCAAAATTATTATTTGTAACCTCTGGGTTATTTGTTTTAGACTGAATAATTACCCACAGACAGCAATCTGTGGCATTTAAATTGTTTTCTTTAAGTGTATAATTGCTACTTAGGATATTTTAGCTGGATGTTTTTTACCAGCATGCTGATAAAATTTGCTTAAAGCCTGGGAACATCAGAGGCAAACTGAGGCCTGGATGGGGCTTCTCTGCATCTGCATGGCTGTGATTCTGTCCCTCGACAAAATTCACCCCTGTGCATTGTGCAAGCTGCAGTGCAGAGCAGCAGCCAGAGGAAAACCACTTCCTCAGTTTTACCTGAGCTGGATTAATATATAGCTTTTGCAGTTAAGATTAGTCAAGTTGGTCAGTTGCAATCAAACATTGTGGAATCAAGGATATAAGGAAAAATTAGTGGAAAACCTGCAAATCACCATGAGTGATTGAGCTGCCAGAGACCAAAGTGGAAGAATGGGAGGCAGGGAGTCACCTGAGTAGAGCTGTTTGAAGACTGAACTCCTCTTGGTAAATGTTCCCTTTTAAGTCTCAGCTAAAAGTAATAGGCCTCTCAGAAATTGTAAAAGATAACTGGGAAACACCACTTAAAGATGAAGAAACTGGAAAGGATTACATTCATAGCACTGCCACCATAAGACAGTGGAGGAAAAGCAGGCAGAAGAAAGAGTTACATCTCCCTGGCAATTTAGAAAATCTGCCAATGGAGCCTTTACACAATGCAGAAGGAAGCTGTCAAGTAACTGTGTCCCAGCAAAAAGTTTCCATCTGCTCCTCCTGACCTAATGTAGCCCTCCAGGAATGAGAATAAAATCATCAAATAGCCTGTAATTCATAGTCATTTAACAATATTACTCTCCTAGCGTGTTCTTTATTCCATAGTACTTAGAATATTCAGAATGCACTGCTGCTATATTTTGAGTTATATTATCTTTAATCTCTAAACATGCAAAACTGCTGTCTTTGAACTTCACATTATTAAACAGCACAACAGCACCATGTCCCTTCTGGCATGTTCTCCTTGGGTGATAAAGGAAAGGCCAGACCACTGCCCGAAAAGGAGGCTGTTTGAGTCCATTATAAAACATGGCCTCATGCCTGTCTGTTCAGCAGATGCAGAGAGTGGTGCTGGGAATACATTACCCCCCTCAGATGGAGAGAACAGCTACCCTGGGCTCCAGTCCTCTGGCCAATAAAGAGATCCTGTCCTCACAACTGGGGAGCCCTAAGCAGATTTTCCTGGCTGGAGGCAAAGATGTATGACAGAAGCTTGTGGGGAAGGGAAATAGCTCTTCAATCTGAAACAAACTGAAAGGAAAAAAAGAGAATTAACTGAAGTACATCCTGAACATTCCACTTAAGGAGATCAGATTCTCCTTTGGAAAAAAAGGTTAGATAAGACAAGCAAAGGCAAAACCTAGCAAAGAAATTGTCTCAGAATGTAGTTCTTATTTTGTCAATTATTTTTCTTATGGGTTGTAAGACACATAGCTATTTTATTCTAATTCTTCATTGCTTAAACTCCAGGAGGCTCCAGCAAATCCCTAGGATTTACTTTTACTGCAGTATTAAACTTTAATGGTAATTTTCTATCAGGTATAAAATCTGTAGGTGCCTGAAATCTCTGTAAGTATATAAGGCTTTAAAATAAAACCTGGACAGAATCTTCTGGTATCTGCATTCATCACTATTGTCATTGTGGATATATTTCACATCAAACTAGTGAAAATTAATAGAATCAGTTCCAGGAGACTGGGATTCGTGGGAGGAAGAGTTTGGAAATTTCCAGAGTTTCTTTGCCCTTCTTAAATTCAAAGGGTAAAGACAACTTTTTTCTTTTTCTTTTTTTTTTTCCCCATTTAGGAAAAGATGAAATCAGTTATTTGCTACAATAAACATCATGCAAATTTAAGTACATTTTCTTTAAACACTGTAGTTTCTAGAGGAAGGTACCTCTTCAGAAATTTGAATTGAAAACCTCTTTGAATTGTGTAAACAACGAGCTCAGCTTCCAGAAGTGCCAAACAGGAAAACCCACAGAGTTAGAAGCCAGCAGCTTCCCTCATGCTACATTTAGGTAGGAGAGCACAGCCACATTAAAACAGACATGGAAAAATATAGCAAGAATTTGCCTGGGAAACCTGCACCATTCACTTACTCCCTAACAATGACGGCAATTAGAAAGGTGAGGTAACACAAAAACAATAATGGCAAGGCAACTTTGTAGAAGTCTTTCTTTGGTTAAAAATGGCATTGAGGTACCTTGCATTCTCTTATGAGATCCATATTTTAGAATAAAATTAGGATATATTTTGCTGCTGAAAACGTCTATGGTATCTAACAGCCAGATCCTTATCATCCAGGGGCTAGGAAACATTTCCAGGTATCCTAGAAAAGCTCCATCAGCCTTGAGCAGCACTGTTACTAGAAACCCACACAGTGAAGTGAATCTGAACTCTCAGTACAGTTTGCAACAACAACAACAAAAAATTCATTCAGATGACCAACAGCAACTCCTATTGCTCCAAAACATACCAAGTCTCCAGATGAACGCTGCTCAACTCACACTTTGGCTAAGGAGCGCTTAAAAAGTTATGCCAATAACAGTATCTGCTCCAAAAACCTGAAAACAATGTCATTTTTAGCAAAATTATTATGAATGATAACATTTAGTACAAGTCTCAATATAGTCTCAATAGCTGATCATGTTCACTTATTATTTGACTTTTTCCTTTTAAATAAAATATTTTATATCATTGTCCCTAGGGTTCAGAAACACTGATATCCATGAAGACAAGCTATTTCTGCTATGACTTCTGAATGTGCTGTAGCCATTCTAAAAATCTTACAGGCAGCAGCAGTCAGGACCTTGGAATTCCAGCTCCACTGACTTAAAAATGCTAAGAAAAAGAAGAAAACATAACTGTCATTTTGATCTTCAGAGCCATGTATCCCGAAGCAAGGTTTGGCCATGAACCGGAGAATCTAAACATACTGCAGAGTGCTGTCAATCTGAAATGAACTTAAATCACAGGCACTGTGATCTGAAAAGAAAGGGGAAAAAATATGTTTAGACCATAAATCCCAGGGTTTGAGACAATACCAGGCATAGTAGCAGCCACACCTGCTGCCTCACACTGGGGTACTGTGCCCATTCTGTCACCATTACCTCTTTCAAAGGTCCAGCAGAACAAGGAAAATATTGGTTACCACAGGAAAGCATTGTGATACAGCTTGGTCCAGTTCTAAAAAATAGTAACACCGTGTTGTCATTTAAAAAACAAATTTGAGATAAAGCAGCTTTACGGCAATTGTTTCTTCAATTACTTTCCTCCTACGGTTTGACCAACAGAGACAGACTGCTTGTCAAGTCTGTCTCCAAACTGAGATGATATTCATATTCAAGAACACAAGCAAGGTAAAGATGAACTGTAGTTTAGCAGAGATTATCAGGCAAATTCTGCGATTTGCACAGGTTCTGAAAGTAGTCAGGAGGAATAACCTGCAATCTTACTGCTATGGACTTGAAATGGCTTATGGTTGCTTGCATAATAGGAAGGAAAATCTATGGTTTGGGTCCTTATTTTAATTGCACAAGTTACTCTTTCTTCAGAGGCTACCAAACAATATTACCTTTCAACCTTCCTAACATGACTCCTTAGCTAACCCACCATCAATTTTTACTTTGGGTTAGAAGCATAACTGTATCTAAATACCTCATGCCTCTTTAGCTGAGCAGAAAGCCCAGGGCAAGCAGGGACACAAAGGTACACGAGGTGCTTAGCCCAGAACAAAGCATTGACCGCCAGGCTGGTCATGTGTGAAAAGGTGATGAGAAATCTCCACTACATGGTCCTTTCAGAAAGACCAGATCCACACAGAGACACAACTATCTGTCCAAGGTCAATCATAGAGCCTGTCCAAAATCCAATGAAGAACATTCAACTGAAGATGTCTGGCAGACAGGTGCTCTGCACAATGACTCCTCGTGCCCAGGGGCTGGCATTGTCTTATGAGTTTATAGAAAAAGAAGAATCCTCGTGCCCAGGGGCTGGCATTGTCTTATGAGTTTATAGAAAAAGAAGAAAAGTCAGCTTGTGTGGACTTGCACCTGTTTCATACGTGATATTTGTTTCCAATCCTCAGCCTAAAAGCTTTACTTCAAGCCTACTCTTTTGTTATCTCAGTGTGGGCTACCCCCAAGGATATTACCTTTCTGTTAGAGACAAATGGCAATGGAATATTTTGTATGACTTTAGTGAAATCCAAAGTGTCCAAGAACAGATGAACAGATTTTTCTAATGAAAATTTTAAAAAGCAATTAATACTTTGAATTCAGTAAGCAAGAAAAAAAAAATCCATTACTCTTTTTACTGCACTTATAAGCTCTAAACTAAAATTCTACCATAAGTGAAAAATAAAAAGAATGGAAAATACAGTTGTATCAAATACATTAACTGAAAAGATGTTTATTTAAAAACATTGTATGGATCATTGAATTTCATTATATATAGATTTATTTTTTAACAAGTGTTTGGTATCTTGATAACATCAAAGGTATCACATGATGCAACAGTTGCTATAGTAGCAATACTTAAGTAAAAAAACACATCAAACAAAAGCATAAAACATATAAACAGTAAACAAAAATATTGTACATTATATGCAACCCCAGATAGCAGACAAAAGAGAAGATAATAGCTATTGAGTTGAACTAGTCCTCAGAGCTGCATCTGCAAAAAAGTATCAGTGAGTCCACCCTTTCTGGGAAATAAGGGATGGCTCAGAGAATTAGGTCTGCATGTGAATGAGAGGGGATGCTGAAACACCAGTCAAAGAGAACACAGGAATTCAAGTTCTAGGTCGAGATCAAAAAATTTGTGGATGTTTCTATCATTCCAGGGGAAATTCTGTGTCTAGGGATTCTGAGGCAGGTAAAAAACTGAAGAGTTAAAGGCTATCTTTGTGGGGTATTACAGAACTTTGAGAAGTGAAACTCTTCCCTAGCATCCCATACCTTTCTGAAATTTGTATGCAACTGATTTCCCAAAGACAAGGAGGGCGTGTGACCTGCAAAAAATATCGAGTCAAGCAGGCAGGCAATTGCAGGGTTTGGAATTGTAGTGGAGGAAATTTCAGGTAAGGGCAAAACCTGGTATTACTCACAAAACTGGAAAAAAATGGTGGTGGTTGAAGTTACTCACTAGTATTTGCTAGAGCCGTCCTAAAATGCTGTAAGTATTTCCCATGCTATTTAATACTGAAACAAATCTGCTTTCATATATCTGTATTTGTGTTATATGTGAGGGAGGATAGAAGAAGTGGAAGGAAAGGGAGAGATTCATGGATGTATGTTGTGTAAACATCCATATATACTCCAGGACAATTTGTATATACCAATGTTTCAACAGCTGCCCTGGGTGTGAGGAACTGATTTACCAAAAGCACGTTATCTCACTTACACTTAACATAACTGGGAGAAGTCATGACAAAATAAATTTCTAAACTAAAGATAACTCACATTGAGCCAAGCTAAATGTAACTAAAACATCTTATATGTAGCAACCAATGCAATGACCTTGACCCAAGATTATATAGCCTTCAGTGACTAACGAAGTTTAATCTCTCCAAGTTAACTTTTTGCATCTCCTTTCTTCGGGACCAACTGATTCTCAGCTGGGAAACTGGAAAGGACTCAATAGGTAATAAATATTCTTGATATAACAGAGAAGTAGATTGATTTCAGCTTTTGCAAAAGGCCAAGGCTTCATTTCTTGTCCTAGTTTTTGGATTCCTCAGCCCTGACTATCACATTCAAAATGTTTGTCCACAAAAGACATCTCCTAAAAATACCAAGTATGAAGTACCATGGAAGTCTTTCAAAAATATCAGCAAGGTCAAGCATGGAACATATAAACAGCACTTTTTCTGTTTATGAAAACTAGCCTGCTCATGCCAGTTTCCTAGCACTTTTCATGTCTTACTGTGTCTGCTGGTTGAACAGCAACTTTCCAAATTTATATTTAAAGAGATGTCTAAGCCATAGTGTGGAAGCACAAGTTTATGTGCTGAATCCCAGGAAGACCAAAGGAAGACAGCATAGCCGTGATGCTGAGCTAGCAAGCTGGATCATGGACATTATTCCAGGGTTAGCACTGAGGGAATACAGCTGTGCTTTCTAATTTGGATAGGGCTTTTATCTCATTCTCAACTATTCTTCACAAGCAAGCAGCCTGGTGAGCCTCAACACAGGTCAGCTGTGGCACTATACCAAACCCACTATTAACAGCTATTTTAATTTGTTCATACCTAAACTGCAACTACTGTAAATCTCTTGCAGATGCACCTGTCCACATTTTTTAAAAAAATATTTGATTATCACTAATTCAGGTGTTCAGGAGACTTCAATTCCTGACTCAACCACTAACATCATTATGGTGGTAATGAATCTTCATCCATGGGAAACTGAGCCTTCCATGAGAGTTCCAGTGCAGGCACAAAATCCTGTGGAGAAACACATCAGCAGCTTTGCACAGCACCATCTCTCTCTTCAAGATCTTGTATTCCCCAGGTGACTGGAAGAAAGGTGGTCTCTGCAGCTGCTTGGGCTTTCATCATGAGTGCAGTAACTGAAAACTGGGCAACCTCAGTGCACGGACAATTTCCATCCTGGTTATTACATACCATTCCTGAATCCTTCTTTGGGTTAAACTGCTATTTTCCTTGGCTCTTGCTTCCTATTCACCCATTGTTTAGGGATGTAGGAATGTCTTCTGCCAGTTAACTTAAGCCTGCAGTAATTTCAGCCACAGTTTCTTCACTTTTGAGTTACATTCTTCTTCACTATTGCATATTTAAAATAATTTGGAGATTTTAGTGCAACTTCTGAAATAATTTGTTCCCCCAGGTTGCTGAAATCAATTACACTATTAATTACTGCCACAGTTATAATTACTCATTGAAACAACTTGTTTAACTTCTTCATTCAGAATAGCATTTCCCCCTACTTTCCAAAACAGTCCATTCCAAAAAGTAGTATTCTAAACCACTGAGAATATCTTTGACCCAAGCATTGTCCACTCACATTCCCTTAAGAACATAATCTAGTATTTCATTTCAAACAATTAGATCATTGCAATTTTATTTTGTTCACAAAGTATCATATAGAAAAAAAAAAATGGTTTCAAAATTCCCATTTTCTAACATAAAAAATGTCAGCAAAAACAAACAACCTATTAACTGTCTTGCATCAGCAACATAACAGGAGTAAAACCACAGAGAACGCTAATAACTAATACAGCATATTCAGCATGTTTTTTAACTAAGCAAATACCAAGTTGATACAATATTTATGGGAATATGAACTGCACACAAAATATTTCAAGTATTCAGAACACAAGCCAAAAATTCCACCTTCAAGATGGCTTACACAGAGAGAGCTTTGAGATCAAATTACTGTTTATTTGTACAGCTCAGAAATATAATAACCAGCAGATACAGTGATATTGTGCCTAGTTACAAAATATTCCGGAGCACCACAGGCTTTGGGTGTAGGTAAGTAGTAGAGAGGCAAGTTTATCTCACAATTCTATTTCACATGGACAGTTCCCATCAAATAATGTTGCTGCTTTCAGATTTGTATAGGTTATTTGAGGAATTTTTCATTAATCAAACACTTCATACCACCTCATCTGCATTTTATAAGCATGAAAACCTGATAGCCACTTGCCAGGCTTCCCAGCACTGAAGTTGTCTGTAATGGCAAAGTGACTCTGCTGCTTATTGCAAATGAAAACACATCAGCAGAGCTGCAATGAATCCAAAAGGGCTCTCTTTGCAATGGATTCCTGCTGCTCTGCTCTGGTGATTCACGGGAACTGATGTTCCACTTGCTTGAGTGGAGATTGAAATTCAACACATTTTCCAAGGTGCTTATGAAACAAAATGTAAAAGGAAAACCTTGCCAGTTTTCACTCGTTATTGTGAGATCCACTGCTAAGTAAACAGCTCTGTGAATTAGCAGGTAAATGGGATCATTAGAGAGCTTATTCATCTAATAGTAATAATTTAAAACAACTTTTTCCTCCATCCCCTTTTCTGTGCTCGATTTTTGACATAATGAAAACATGAAATCAGCTAGTTTACCATATTGAGAGAACAGGGATACATATATATATATTAGAAAATATATGTATCAGAACATGTAAGTTTTAGCCTCTAACCTTTATACATTACTTACCCTAAAATAGAACCAATCACAAAAAGCATTTACTATACACAAATACATCAAATTCATTACCAAACATTTGCAGGATGAGAGCCCTAGATTTAATACTAAAGTCCACATCCTGAATTTGAGAGTCTATGACAAAATGAAATGGAAGTCATTATTATTCTCGTAGAGCAGTTTTCCAAACCATTTCACCATACAAATAGTAAAATTACTTCAAAAACGTATGTAAAAATCCAAAGTTAACAAATACAGCACTTCTTAAATGGCAGGCTTGGCCTCTGTGGCAAAGTCAAGAAAATTAACTGTGGGGACAATGTGACAAGGAAATCTGGGATAAGGGATACATTGATGTGTATCCATAACCAACTTCAAGTAATTATAAATCAGTTTATCTCTAATATAGATTAAAGGCAGACACAGCTTGAGCCCAGAAGAACTTCTTATCTCAGGTACAATGCAATCTAAACATGGCAATTCTGCATCCAGGCTCTGCATGCCAACTACCTTGGGGAATCACTTGAGAAATCTAAGCTGGTTTCAAAAGATTCCCACCATTCTGGAAAAGGGCAGCATGATCAATCCTCCAGAAACAAGCATGCTGGAGGTGGCTGTGCTGGAGCTGCTCCACATCCAGCAGCACCACTGTGAGCAAAGCAGCATGCCTGCATCCCCGTGACATCGGCAGGAAATAACTGCACAAACTCCCCTCCATGTCCTCCAGCACCTCGTTTATCCAAGGGTTGCTGCTTTCTGTTACCAAGTTATCAGACATCTTCATTAAAAACTTTAAAAAAGGTAACAATGACTATTCAGCCATTTTCCCCTGTGACTTCTATCCCTAAGCAGGTGTTGTGGAGGAAAGAGGAAGAGAAGGAAAATTTCCCAGTATAGACGAGTTGTCCATCTCTTCTGTGGCAGCTGAAAGCCATTGTGTAAGGTGTCCCACCTGGAGGGCAGGCTGGTGCTGCAGATCTGAGTGTGCCAGTCCTGTTAGTGGCCTCATGTGGAGATCAAGCTGGTTCCGTTGTAAAACAGGGAGATGACTTTAAAAACCTATTTTATTGAGAATTAAATCTATATAGCTTCACTACCAAAACCAGAAAAGCTATGTAGGCCACCTAAATGCATTCTGAGGTTAATTTGGTCTTTTGCATGTGACTTCTGCCTGCTAAAAGCAGTGAGAACCACACTAAAGAAACCTGCAGAAACTTCTGTTTTACAAATTTCAGTATAAAACCTATTAAAATTCTCAATAGGTCTCATTTTAGTTTTTACAAATTCAAAAGCCTCCTCTCACAAGTGCTAGTAATTAATAGGGTGCTTTGAACTTCACTGAAAGAAAAAACGTTGGGAGGCTCGAGGTAAGTAACTTTTCAAAGCTTTGATTATTTGTCAAAGAAAAAAAATGTATGAAATATGGCTAGGAAATGGTAAACCACTCAAAAATGGCAACTGGAACACCCAACACACTCTTGTTTCTTTCTTTTTCTGAAATTATATCTTCTGGCTGTCCAAAGCCTTCATTAGTATTTCTCAGGTCTCCTTATATGGCAAATTATGTAACAAAAATATGATCAAAGCCTTAAGTACCAAAAATATATTAGCAGCTCTTCTTCGATGAATTTTTCTAGTGAGGATTTTTTTTCCACTGGATAACTGAAAAACATTGGAAATTGCTTGAACAGCGACCTACTGGCAGCAAAGTCTAATGATCACTTATAATAGCTTTCTGCAGTGACTAGAGTTAATTTCTGTATAGAATTTCAACAAATATTTCAACTCATACAGTTAAAACTGAAACAGTTAATAGTCTTACAAAGGACCTTAGATTTACTAAGAAACCTTTCTCTAATGTCCCCTGGACTTCCAACTGCTCTGGCTGAAAAGTACCAATGCAATCGGTAATTTCTGGCAAATTTCTTTATTGAACAAAACCCATTTTAAATTTGTTTACAAATCCACCCTGCAGCATTTTATAAACAGCTGCAAACAGCTCTTTCTGCTGTGTGAACATCTGCAAGGCTGGGCCCAGTCCCCACACAGCGTTCCACTGACGTTTGAAGCCTCCTCGTGTTGATAGGAGGATACAGTGGGCAGACCCCTTTCAGAAAGAAGGCTGCAATGTCTCTTCCCAAACACTGGAATTCTATGATGTTTACAGATTAGTTGCATATATTACAAAATAAACTCTGTTGTTTGTATACACCTTAAAATTCAGAAATCATTTAGGAAAAGTTAATTCAATTGTAGAAATTACCTTTACCTGGATAATCAGAAGTATCACTGACGTATGGTGTTATTTTAATGACCGAGATTAAATAATATTATTAAAGTAATTAGCTGATCTCTCCTTTTTTAAATTTCCTCATGATAAAGTCAGTGAATTAGTTACCAAAAAAGACTTTATTTAAAGACAAATAAATTATGTTCTTATATAGTTTGTTTTTTTATTTAACAATTAAGGCCACTGAAAAAAGCAGTTATGTTCCTGATACTAGAATGTTGTCATACCATAAATGATTAAATATTTTTAAAAGAATAACTATCCTCTTTTGAAAGAATAATGGAAAGCTATCTTCAAAACAATCCAGCTCAGCACTCTCATATTAAAATCAATCAGAAAATACTGGAGAATTTACACAGCTGTTCTATTGGCCTCTTCACTTGCAGATCTCTTAAATAACAAGCTCAACACTAAGTGTTTTAGGAACGCTAATTACTACACAAACTTTGGGTGGGGCTTGAGCATTCAACAGAGGTTTGCAGATTTCCTCCCTGAAGCCAGGTCACAGCTTTGAAAATTCCAACCATTCTTAGCATAAAATGTGACTCAACACCACTCTGCAAAGTACCGATGGTGACATGTAAATAAACATAAAAAACTCCACATTCAGCTGGGAAGCCTGTTCATGCCGATAATCAGGATTTTTGGTTTAAAGACATTTATTTATATCCTGTCCAGTACTATGAGTAAATGCCTTTTCTTGTTTTCACTATGATTTCAGTGACGATGACACAATGAAATACCAGAAATACTAATATCCACAAAATAACTAGCAAATGTGGAATAACATATATTAGAACTGTCAATCCAGGCTAATATTCAGTTGCCTCAGATAGAAAACAATTACAGAACTCAGAGATAACCTGCACCCTTTGATCATTCAGGTCTCCAGATGGAAGTCCTCTGAAGGTAATACAGATGCCTTGAACATAAACCTGGGGAGAATGAGATAACTAGTGAAATTCTAAATTGGAAAATACTTTCATCTGGTTCATGGGTCAAAAAATTTAGCAAATCCAGGCACTCTGTACTCACTACGACCTACTACTAAACCTTCCTTAGTGAAGCTAAAATGTCCTCTTTGCTACAGAACTGAACAAATAACATTCATCTGGTTTTGATGAAACTTAACTAAACTGGTTGTTTTCCTTTATCTTCCAGAGGCTTATGACAGCAAGGTCAGCTGAGCAGAACAGCTGGAAATCAAACCAAGAAGCTCTTGAGAGCAACTAACTAGACTCAATCACTTTGATCCTCCTGCAGACTTCATTTGTGAAGATTTACATTGCTTTAAGTTGGATTCCCAGCTTGAGAGACAAAGGCTTCAGCCTGGAAAACCAAACAGGAGTCATACAAATTCAAAGTTTACTGCAAAAAGCTGATTTAAACACTTTCATGAAAGCAGGTAGGACTAATGAGCCAGCTACAATGGGAAAATGATTAATTCCGAGTAAAGTGAGCTGATTTGCAGGACTCTAAACAAACATCAGAATACAGAAACTATTTTAATGGATTAGAGCAGATGTCTGTCTAGGCTGAGGAGGACAGCAGCAGAATATGAACTCTGTACCAGACAGGTGTGAGATAATCCACCTTCCATATTAAGTCCAAATTTTACTTGAAATATATAGATTGGCTGAAACCTACCACGATGTAGAGAATAATGCTCAACTTAACAGTAGACTAAAAGCTGATGGAAATCCCTCTTCTGAAATGCTTCATGCAATTCTGTGTGTCCTAATCCTGCTCCCCAATTAAAAAGATAAAAAAGGTTAAGAATTTGCAAAAAACAGAAACAAAAATCTTCTACAGGGAAAAGGAATAGAATATGAAAATACTTGTATATAGGGAAAGAGTAAGAATAATTACCAGTATTAAGACATATTACAATATTTACTTCCCTATAACAGAGATATTAATAAAACTTAAATGAAAAATTCTTGCATTATAAAAAAAATGTAATTTTTACAAAGTATAATTAATTTATAAAACATCTTAACACAGCATATTCTCAAAGAGTTTAGAGAGGTCATATGCATCCTAGATGTGCATCATTCGCTGTCAGATAACTTTTAGGAAGAAACCTAATTTTTATAATCCCTTATCTCTAAGTGCACACTGTATTTTTTCTGACATTGACTCTTGTCAAACCTGAGTTCTGAACTCAATCAGTAAAGAATGGTCCATCACAGCAATCTGTGCTGCTTTAAGGCATGAATAAGTTACCTTCAATTTCTCTGTAATATGGTTTCCTTATGCAAAAATTGAAAATAACCATCAGTATTTCTAGATAGGAAGATGAGATGATGAGAGTTATTACTTGTGTTTTCTGATCCATGACTAAAAACATGATGTTGCTGTGTAAAAAAAAAAAAATCCAACAAGTATAACATACTCATACTGGCTAAATTTATTTATATGGTTTGAACAATGTTCAGTCCTTCTGTAATGGCTTTATTCTCCTTGCATTTGTGCAAAAGTCAGGTTCCAGAGCTACATTCCTGTATCTCCTAAAGATTGCTCAAGATCTCACACATGATGAAGACACACTAAGCAGTGAGGATGCAGCAGAGCACATTCCCCAGTTATGTGTTCAACAACAGTGTCAGTGTCACCCAGCAGTAAAGGAGAAGAAATAGAGATTCTTTGAGGGATTTGCCATGGAAAGAACCTGCCTGTCGACTTAGTGTCAGCAGACAGTCAGAAAAAATCCAAATCACCCCACCTTTTTTTCCCACACTAGTTTCTGTGACCTTCCTTAAAAGTGGGCCAAGATCACAAGCTTGCCTCTTCTTCTCTGAAGGTTTTGGGTCTTCTCCCTATCTTTGTGGTTCTTTGCATTTTTAATTCCTTATCTGGTTTTCCAAAACAGAAGGACCTGCAAATTAAACTTGCAAAGTATACAGACAAACATTGTATAACTCAAGCAGACATGTACCAGGACATGAAACTAAACATGAATTCGGCACAAGCTGAAACACAACATTTATGACAAGATCGTTGATTAGTCAGCTGCAATGGTCAGAAGCAGAAAAGGTTCTGGGCAAGGTTAAAATTAAAAAGCAAATATTGTGAAGCTGCAGATTTAACTAATACAGTAGAGAACACTAGGTAAATTAGTCTGGAAATAGTATGAAAGTTACATTCCATGTTGAAGTTACTGACAAGGGCAGAGGCACAGGGGGGTGGCAGGAAAGCTGACAAAGTCCCATGGCCACTGGAGATCTGTTCCCTGATTCACAGCTCAGGCACAGCTGATCACCTGTGTTAGCAGTGTTGCAGAGGATGAAAATAACCACCTGCCCCATGGACAAGATCAACACACAATAAATTTCACAATGTTTTTCCACAGGTTCATAAATAGTATGGCTGAATACAGGGAGTTCAAAAACCATATGGACAATCCATTTAGATGTAGACTCTGTAGTATCATTTCCCCAGAACAAAACAACATTTGACATACTTATCCCTTTTTTTCTCCTTAAGTGGCCCAAAAATCCAAGATCAGTTCTATGGGTAATGCATATTTGTTTGGAGGCGCTTCTGAGGCTGAAAAGCAGAGGTGCAGCAGCTAACACAGCAGGCTGGGAAAATGAACTCCTGGTTCAGGAACCCAGATAATTTATGTATGGTACTGTGGGAGATTAAATATTCAGGAATACTGTCATCTTTGTTTAGCATCTCTAATTTTCGTACTATATTTTGAGGGCTTTTGTTTTCATGTGGATTGGAAAAGACCTTAACTGTATTTTGTTACAAAGGAAAGACCCCTATACCTAGAGGGTCCTTATCATTTATGAGGAGACACAAAACTTCAGCTTCACAAACTTATCTCACATACACAGTTAAAACTATTGTTAATACATCCTGAAGAGGAAAAATAACATTTGGCAGCTTCCTTAAAGAAATCCTCAGTAACAGTGTAAGGGATGGGAGCTGTCAGGTGTGCTGCTCGCTGTCCCTCTGCAGCCTCCAGGCACTTCACACCTCCCAGACAGGTAAAGCAGCACCTGCAGGTCAACCCGCAAGCTACCAGCCTTGTACTGCAGTTTCCTTTCCAGACCTGTGTCTTCACGCATTACTTTTTCATGCTAATTCACGCAGGCGGTCGTTTCTTGTGTAAGGGGAGCTCCTCTGCACCGCCGGTTTGCTCTGCTCTTTGCCACCGCAACCTTTGCCCTTGCGCGGGAGGATGGAGCAGAGTGCGGGAGGATGGAGCAGAGAGTGCGGGAGGATGGAGCAGAGTGCGGGAGGATGGAGCAGAGAGTGCGGGAGGATGGAGCAGAGTGCGGGAGGATGGAGCAGAGTGCAGGCTGCCCCACCATCAGCCTCCTCCTCTGCCCCACCGGGGCTCGGCCCCGCAGCGCAGGCCGGGTGAGCCGGCCTCCGGCCCTCACACCTTCCACCCCACAGCGGGTCAGTCCCGCTCAGGCTGGCCTGGAACGAGGGGGCTCTTCCCTCTCTACCTGCCTGAAGGAGCTTTCCCCACAACCACCTTGTCCCTGGGCAGCCTCTCCTCATCACCCAAGGGAAGGGGCTTTGCCCTTCGTCACAGCTCCCTGGGCAGGAGCCTCTGCCGCGGTCCCCTCACCACCTCGGTGCCCTCGGCCAGAGGTACCCCCCCGTTTCCCCTGGGAGAAGGGCTCCGTCTCCACGCTCCGCTGCGAGCCAGGCCCCCTCTACCGCCAGAAGCCCCTGGAGAAGGGGGACTCCCCCTCTCCCCCCGCCCAGGCGACTGCGGCTGGCACTGACCCGTCTCTGCCGTCCTGCTCCTCTCCGCCATATTTGTTGTCATCCCGCCACCCCCCCAACGCCGCCCGGCCGTCGCCATGGCAACGCGCGTCACGGCCATGGGGGAGCCCCGCGCCCCCCCGACATGGCGGCGGGGCTGACGGCCCTCCCCGGGGACAGCCTGCCCGGGGAGAGCCTTCCCTGGGAGCT